ATTAAAAAGAAAGAAAGAAAGAGACAGACAGTTACATTTGACAGTGGCTGGAGCCAGGAAATGCAAAACTGAGGCTGCGATCCTGTACTGGGTGGAAGCCAGGAGAGCCGCCTCGACCCTGGGGCAGGGTTGGGACGCCCAGACTTCCTCGGCTCCTCTGGTCCGTGTCTCTGGGCACACTGAGGAGCTGCCGCCACCCGCACCTGATTCCTGCTGCAGGGCCACCACTCTGCTCCTTTGCACAGCGAGCAGGAAGGGCAGCCGCCCTCCACTGAAGGCTGTGGCACCATCGTCCTGCTGTTGTTCTTAGAAAATCTTTTTTACAATTGACGTCTTAAAGAAATGACAAATTGAATGGTTGGATGAGATTTACTGTGGATCAGAGAAACTTTATTCTCCAAAGCCTGTCGCTGTTGCTGGTCAGGTCTACCTGAGTCCTCCCCACGGCCTCAGGGTCAGCAGGTAGGGGGTGGGTGTGGTGTATGGCCAATGTGTGTGATGTGTGTATGTGTAAATATGTGTGTGTGTGTGTATACGTGTGTGGTGTGTATGGTACGTCTCTGTGTGCATGTGGTATGTCTGGATGGGGTGTGTGTGTGTGATGTGTGTATGGGGCATGTGATGTGTGTGTATATGTGTGTGGTGTGTGCAGTGCATCTCTGTGTGCATGTGGTGTGTGTGTATATGTGTGTGTGTATGTGTGTGTGGTGTGTGTATGGGTGTGTGCGGCCCGTCTCCATGTGCGTGTGGTGTGCGTGTAAATCTGTGTGTGTGATGTGTGTGTGTATATATGTGTGTGTGTGGCATGTCTCTGCGTCTGGTGTGTGTATGTGTATATGTGAGTGCTGTGTGTGCCTGAGGGCTAACATGGGCACGGGCCCTGGGGCAGAGCTCCCGGCCCTCCCTGCAGCCTTTTTGAGGGAACGGGAGGGAGTGCCTGAGCTCAAGCCCCGGGCAGGGCCTCCCCCAGGTGAGGGCATGCAGAACAATTCCATGTCCATTCCGAGGCTCAGCCGGAGCAGAGCTTGCAGCTTCCAGCCGGGCTGGGGAGGGCTACGTGGCGGAGCGAGTCGGCCTGGGACAGGCGCCGCAGGGGTGGGGGAGGAGCGGCGCGGGGCAGCGCCCAGCAGTCTTATCTGCTCTGCCTCGGAGCGGACCTGCCCCAGCCATCTCCTCCCTGTTTTTCACCTAATCAGGGCCTGGCTGCTGGCTTCCCGGGTGACTCTGCAGGTCCTCTGGTACCGATACCAAGACCCCAGGTTTACTGAGCACTTACTGGGTACCAGGCACTGTTTTAAGGTCCTCCCAGCCGCCTCGTGAGGCAAGGACTCTCATTACTCCGCCCTCACAGACGAAGAACCCGAGGCAGGAAAGGTGTTACAATTTACCCGAAGTCCCAGGACTGGCCACGGGGGAGCCTGCGTTCCCGACGGCTGCTTCCGCGTCGGGGTCTTAACCTCTGCTGTTTTGTCTGTGATTATAGGTTCTGATTTTAAAAATGCATATATTTATGAGTTTCAGTTTCCACATTTTTAAAAGCATGTAGATATGATTTAAATACAGTATAACCTTTGAAAATGATAGTTTAAAAAGGGAATGAATATTGCCCTTGTTAATTAGATATTGGGGCTGATCCAAATGAGACACCAGATAAAATTATCATGTGTGGAAGGTGAGTGTATTTATTGGTCTTCTCAGTCTTTTATTAGTCTTTTAATCTGTGGTTATACTTTTACCATTTCTTTGAAAGGAAATGGAAATCAATTAAAAAGTATTGGCCTTTGGTCTGGTGACAAAGAGAATGGATGCTAACTGGACATGGAGGTAACCACAAGCCTTCGGAAAGTGAGCATCTGGGATGGAGATGGTTGCAGGGAGATGCCCCTGGGGGCCGGGAGGGAGTTTCTACTCTTCTGTGCTTCCATGCCTAGTTTTGGAATGTGAGGGGCGAGTGCTGCTCTAAGGAGGAGCAAAGGCTGCGTCCTGAGCCTCAGCACTTGTTTAAGCAAGACACATGCTAAAGGCCGTGGGAGACCTTGTTCACGAGGGCTCCCTGTGACGGGCACTGCAGCGGGACAGACGTGGGGCCCAGCTCCCAACACAAGGACAGTGGGATTCTCGTCCAAGGAGCAGGGCAGGGTCCTGGATGGAAAATTACTCGGAGGAAGGCTCAGGGGCGAGGGGCCTCCAGCTCAAGCAGCCTCACAGGATTCTTGAAGGCAGGCGGGCGGGTGATCAGAGCCTCCGGGTGGGTGGGGAATTTGACCAGGTACTGAGGGTGTGGTTCTTGCTGAGCTGACTTAGCAAGGTTCTTACTGAGACTGGGCGATGGGGGCCCTGCAGGACCCACACCGAAGGTCAGACACTGAAGGTCGCGGCCCTGGAGTGGCCCGACTGGAGTTTGGTCAAGGAGAGAATTTTGTTGCCTCATCACAGGGCGCGTTTGTGAAATGAGTAAAAAGCTCTGATGCAGGTCACCAAGAGCAGGGGAAGCTCTGATGCAGGTCACCAAGAGCAGGGGAGTCCGTGCTGCATTTATCCAGACTTGTCGACTGAGGAAAGAGCCTCTGTATTACAAACAACAGGCATTTATTTGGGCAATCAGAACTGCAATTCGAGAGGCACAGACTCAGGTAGAAACCCAAAATGTGCTCAGAGGAAGACAAACGAGGCAAGGCTTTATAAAGGCAGAAACAGATAAATCACACAGGTTGTTTTTCCAGATTTGTGTTGGTGCCGGCAACACTGTTGCCTCGTGGTTGATCCTAAGACCATTGCTGAGGCAAAAGTTCTCACCTATGGGAATAAGCACATTTCTGGAAAGAAGGTCAGGATGACGACAGTGAGGCTCACTTCAAAAGTCACTCTACCTCTGGGTAGAGACGTGGTGGGCATGCACAAGCCCCACTTCCTTGAGGACTCCCAGCCCAGTCTTAGAAGGCTTGACACATGTCCCTGCATTTTGCTATCCTGTCCACAGACTGTGAGTTAGAGGCTGTGCTAACGGGAGCTTTACAAGCAGTAGAGGAATCATGCTCGGGTTATGGGTGGAACGAGGCTCAGAGAGGGCGAGGAACTCTTCCAAAGCCTCACAGCAAGTGCACATTGGGTCTTCACGCTGAAGACGAGCCCTCCCATCCTTATCTCATGTGTGCTGTGACCCTGTGAGGCAGTCTCATTCCTGTCTGACAGGATAATAATAGCTCAAAATGCTCAAAGGACTGCCCGCAGTCACAGAGTTAGTAAGTCAAAGAGCAAGATTGTTTATATTTGCCAAGGAACTTTTTAATTTGGAAAATATAGAAAAGTACAAAACCAGAACACAAATTTCACATAAATATACATGGGTTTGTTAGTAATATTGATGGTGTACATTATATTTAATCGCAGGAATGTGCTTTTTTATATTTGCCATTGTTATGTATATATTTGGTTGTAGTCACTGAGGGTATTTTAGGGTTTTTAACATAAAAAATAAGAGAAATAAAGAAGAACAAATCAATCACATTTAATTTAAATTTGTTGTAAATTCCCTATCTGTTGCAATGTGCAAATTGTTTATATTTTATAGAGTAGTAAATTTCTTAAAAATTCAAAGCAGCAAATACTTTTTGAACACCTTTCATGCACAATACATACCGGACACATAATATGCCTGACTTACACATGATATGTTTTTATATGTGTATAGTATAATTCATTTCAATAACTACATAAACTAGAGTAGAATTTTCTCACTCTGTCCCCCCAGCTTACTTCCCACAGGTAACCAGTATTAAAGTTTGGTGCAAATCCTTTCAGACGTTTTTTTTCTAAGTAGAGCTAAAATTGTAATCCAGGTCAATGTGCTCTAAATTCTGTGTTCTTTCCATTAAATGAAGCAATGTATACAAAATACTAGTGAATGCCTGGAATGCAGTAACCACTCAATAAGTACTAGAGTAGCTTTCGGTTTTATTTCTGTCAACAGTGTTAAATTGAGAGAATTAGTTGATCAATATTTATTTGGCACACATTTATTCTCAGGACTACACAAGGCATAGAATCTATGTGAGGGGTATTTATAGAGAAGGTATGAAGGGCATAGAATATTATTTTACTACATGCCTATGATTAAGGGTAGTACAGAGAGAATGTGATTGCAAGGACATTAGGTATAAATTTTGGTTTTTTGGTGAGGAAGATTGTCCCTGAGCTAACATCTGTGCCAATCTTCCTTTATTTTGTATATGGGATGCCGCCACAGCTTGACTTGACAAGCGGTCTGTAGGTCTGCACCCAGGATCTGAACCTACAAACCATGGGCAGCCGAAGCAGAGCACATGAACTTAACCACTACACCACCAGGCTGGCTCCTTAGGTATAAATTTTAATACATCAGGATGTGAAGGTTGCTCTTCAAGCCCATATTGATCTTAAAGTTTGTAGATTGTCTCAATTCTCCAGGTGTGATCAATGAGCATTCCCTTGATATTAATGGAAACCAACTGCAGGAGACAGTGGCAGTTTCTGCGTGAGTCTTTGATGTGGCGCATGTAGCCACTAGGATGTGGGAGCTCAACTGCTGTTGGGTACATCTGCCTCCGTGGCTCACAGATGTTGGAGGAATGCGTCCCTAGACAGGAGACACAGCCCACGTCACTGGAATAACACGACTTCAAAGTCAAGAGGACTGGCCGTCCAACTGTCTTCCCTCTTCAGATCAGCCTCTGCTCCATCACCTCCCAGGAGGAACCCGCTGTCTCCTGAGGCAGTCCCTTTCATTTCAAACAGCTTTGGTTGCTAGAAAGTTCTATGAGGTACCCCAGGCTGTACTCTCATTTAAAATTACTTTTGCCAGAGTAAAATCTCACTAAGTTGGCCTTCATACAGGGATGGCACCCTTCATCTTCCTTAAATAAAAAGTTAGCGGTTCTACCCCAGTGAATTTTCAGGAGCTGTATTAGCCAATAAGGACAATTCAGGCTAAAATTAGTATCTTCCTCCAGTGTAGGGCTCAGTAAATGGAAGGTTCTGTAACCATGTATTTCTGGATCCAGAAATGAATTCTTATGTGTAAGCGCTGTATTTTTGTGACACCACATTGTGTGAAGTGCACCTCTTACAAACTTTAACAATGGTATGACTTAGTGTTATAAAACTCATAAACAGGCGAGTGACGACAGTCAAACTCCTAGAACTCCTGAGAGGTGCTTCTCAGAATTCCAGATGCCCGAAGCTCCCCGACAGACAGTCAGCACCTGCTTCCCTCCCTGCCTTGGGCCCTGAGCTTTCGGGTGCTGGCCTTCCATCTCCCACAATCCTAGATACCATCCCCTGCCATGCCCTCCTAGGAACAATGCGAAATGTTACTTAAAGGTTTCTGGAATGTAGCTTTTTGACTTAGTGAGCCTGACCTTCTTCCAAATCGGCCTGGATTTGCAGAGGATCACAATTTAACTTACAACAAAAATTTTAAAAGCACAGAAATACAGATATGCCAGATTAAAAGGAAGCCCGGGATCTGGGCACAGGCCATGGCCTCTCTTTGCAGGAATAAAAGGATCTGTGTTATTTATTGAAGTTTTCTGAGCTGGTTTTCCATGTTTTGTTTGTCGTGTCCTTGAGGAACTGTGTTTGGATCCTGGCTTTGTTTTGCGACCTCTGTTTTATGGTTTCTGACTTTTATCAGTGTCTGTGTATGCAGTGTGTTTATTTTGACAGTACCCTGTGGGACCTGGGGTACAGACTCAGTATGTGCTGGTACTACAAGGGATAACCACTGCCACCTTGTCTATGAATTGCAATTCCCTCTAGCCCAGAGGGTCAAGCTTCTTTGACCTGGTTTGAAAAGGCGTTTATATAAAATTTTAACATTCTTACATACTCCCACGAAGAAGGAGTTCCTTTAGTTTCTACTGGGTAGACTATTCTTTAGCAAGTGTTCTGTGGTTTTGTGTCATTCTGTAAGATTTGTGCCTGGTGGGTCCAGAGATGTTTTTGGGATGGTGGGGGGAGATGTGTGTGACTATTTATCACATCCTTGGGACTTGTGGGCTTGTTCCACACTGTCTTGCTTTCCAGGTAGCTGGTTGAGATTTAAGATTTGGCTTATTCTGCTCAGCTCCTTGGCCCCTTCCAGACCCTGACCATTAACTCTGTAACGGTCCCCATGCCTGTCTCCACTGGGTCTGTTCCTAGGGCTCCTGCAGGCCTCTCCCAAAGACACACTGAGCCTCTTTTCATTTTAAAGGTTTTGCTTATAATCACTTCTGGAGGATCCCAAAAGGTACACCTGATTTTTTTTTGGAGATTTTGGTGTGAAAACATAAGCAATACTGAAGTACATCGAGTGAAAAGTTTCTCTCTATAAGTTAATTTGCTGGGCAGGAGGGTGTGCACCCTAAAATTTTGATAGATACTAACAAATACATGAAGTTTGCCTTCCCAAGATTTGTAGCTTTTGCACCAGCAGCCTGTGAAGGGTTCCTGCTCGGTTCCCAACCCTGGAGACATCGTCATAGATGTTTACCGCGTCCATAGGTGGAAAAAAATAGCATTTCATGTGAATTTGCATTTCCCTGATCACAATGAGTTGAGTATCTTCGTATTCTAGGGTTTGCTTCTTTTCTGAGACAAACCACACCTCGCGGACGTCTTCCTGGCCGCTCAGGGGCAGGAAGCCCTGGGCCTCGCTGACAGCCTTCGGCCCCCGGACCGGAGGGGCCAGGACTGAGGGCCAGCGGGGCCGCGCGGGCCTCCCGCTCCCATGTCGGCGGGGCAGGTGCAGCCCCCGCCTGCTCTCCTCCTGGACCCCAGACTCCGAGGCGGACGCCCACAAAGCTCCCCTCCTTCGCCTCCCGGCGTCTGCGCACCGCCTGGGCGCCCGGCCGAGCCCAGGCCGCGGATGCACCTGCCTGCGGAGCCCGCTGCCCACGGCCCTCGGGTCAGCGCCCGGGGCCCGCCGGGGGGCCAGAGGGAGGGCCGCGCGGCCGAGAGCCCTTCTGACCCGCCTCGCTCCGCGGCCGCCCAGCGGACGTCCCCCGGGACGGAGCGACCGCAGAGGCAGCCGCCCGCTCGCCATTCTGGGGCCGGAAGCCGAGCTGGAACCGCGACGCGGACCACGCGCAGCCTGCCCCGCGGGCAGATGGCCGTGCGCATGCGCATGGCGGCGGGCAGCGGTTGCCAAGGTGACCGGAGCCCGGGCCGCCCCGCCCCCCGCGCCGCAGCCCTGCGGACATGGCCGCGCCCACCGCCGGGGGTGAGGGGTCAGCTCCGGGTCGGGGTCGGCCAGGGGAGACCGGGGCCGGGGATCAGGAGGTCCCGGGGTGAGGTGATCCTGGGGTGAGAAAGAGCCGGGCCTGAGGGGGTCCCGGGGTGAGGGGGGATGCCGGGGACCCGGGCTGAGGGGATCCCGGGGTGAGGGGGTCCTGGGGTGAGGGGCGACCGGGGACCAGGGGTGAGAAAGGGCCGAGTATCAGGGGGTCCTGGGGTGAGGGGAGGGCCAGGGTGAGGGGGTCCCGGGGTGAGGGGGGCCGTGGTGAGGGGTTCCCGGGGTGACGGGGCCCGGCTCGGGCTGACTGGCCAGCGTTTGAGGGTCCGGAGGTGAGGCCCCCGGGGCGGAGGCTGTGCGCGGGGGGGGGTCTGGCCGGGAGGGGCGGTGACCTCGTCGCGGGGGCGCTGCGGTGGGCGGTGACCTCGCTGGGAGGAGGGGCTGGCCGGGGCGGTGGAGGCGGGGGCATGGTGGTCTGGTCCGGAGGTGGGTCCGGGTGGGTTTGGGGGCGGGGGCCCGGTCAGGGGGGCCGGCCCCGGGGGGGCCGTCTGGAGGGCGGCCCCGCCCGGCCCCACTGGCCGCGTGCCGGTCCGCAGGAGCCGCCGCCGAGTGCCCGCCGGCCGGCCACGGAGGCGCGCGGACGCGGGGACGCACGGACGCGAGCCGGGCCGCAGCATGTGGAAGCTGGGCCGCGGCCGGGTGCTGCTGGACGAGCCCCCGAGGAGGAGGACGGCCTGCGGGGGGGCCGCCGCCCGCCGCCGCCGCGCAGGTGAGGGGGCGCAGGTGGGGGCGCAGGTGGGCCCAGGCCTGGGCGGCCGCCGCCGGCCGGGAGGACCCTGCCGAGCGGGCGCTGCCCCGCGGCCTCGCCGCCCCCGCACGCGGGCGGGCCGGGCAGCCCGGGGTCGTGCGCTCGGGGTCCGGGCAGCCCGGGGTCGGGGCGCGGGGGTCCGGGCAGCCCGGGGTCGCGGGCGCGGGGGGCCGGGCAGCCCGGGGTCGGGGCGCGGGGGTCCGGGCAGCCCGGGGTCGCGGGCGCGGGGGGCCGGGCAGCCCGGGGTCGCGGGCGCGGGGGGCCGGGCAGCCCGGGGTCGCGGGCGCGGGGTCCGGGCAGCCCGGTGTCGGGGCGCGGGGGGCCGGCCGGAGTCGCGGGCGGGCCGGGGGGCGTGCGGACACCGCCGTGCCCTCTCCGGAGGCCGGGCCGCCTGGAGGAAGAGGCGCCCTTCGCGGGAGCGCGAGCCTCCTCCGCGCAGGTCCCGGCGGCGCTGGGGCGCTCCGAGGGGCCGGCCCGGGGCGCTGCCCTCCCCGCCGCTTTCCCCGGCGCGGCGCCGCAGCCCTGGGCGAGGACGTCTGGCCCGAGATTCGGGTGCCGTGTGTCTCGGCGCTGGCGGAACGCTTTGTTTGTTGTTGGGTGTGTGGAGACGCTCCCCTGCTGCTGCCGGGCGGCCCCACGTCGGCGGCGGGCCGCGTCCTTCTGCTCGCGGCTCGTGCGCGGCGGAGACGCCGCTCGCTCGGCGCTGGAGCGGTGGCGGCCTGACTGTCCTGCGGGAGTTGCATGTGCTTCCCGCCTCCATTACATGCGGCTCCGCGGCCGAACTTGTTATGCGCCGGGTTTTGATGGTGTTAGTGCTTACCCCACTTTTCATTGTGTAAATCTCAGGACTTTGTGTTTATTCTAAACAGCAGCTCTCTCAAATATAACGATGAGACTTTATATGTGGTTTATACGTGTTTATACGTAGTTTCACTGACCTACAAACCTGTTTTTTCCAGTAATTCATACCTCCTTCTCCTCTAACCCCTGGCCGCCACTGATCCCTTTACGTCCCCATAGCTTTGCCTTTTCCAGAATGTCATGGTTGGAATCACACAGTGTGTGGCCTTTTCAGGCTTGCTTCCTTCATTTACTCGTATGCGTTTAAGGTTCCTCCTGTCTTGACAGCTCAGTTGTTTTTAGCGCTGAATACTGCTCCCCTGTCTGCATGGACCACAGGTTGTTATCCATCCACCCGCTAAAGGACGTCTTGGTGCTTCCAAGCTTTGGCGATTTTGAATAAAGCTGCTGTAAACATCTGTGCTCAGGTTTTTGCGTGGACTCAGGTTTTTAAGGCACCCGGATAAGTACCAAGGAGCGTGATTGCTGGATTGTGTGGTAAGAGGGTGTTGAGTTTGTAATAAAGCAAACCGTCTTCCTAAGGGGCTGCACCCTTGTGCGCTCAGCCAGCGTGGTGAGAGTTGCTGTTCTCTTTTGCCGGCGCGGGGATGTCAGTGTTCTGGATTCGGGCCGTTTGGATAGGTGTGTAGTGGTCTCTCACTGTCGTTTTAATTTGCGTTTCCCTGATGGCGTATGATGTGGAGCCTTCTCATATGCTTATTTGCCATCCCTCTATCTTTGCTGAGTCGTCTGTTCAGCTTTTTGCCCCGGTTTTAGATCGGGTTGCTTGTTTTCTTATTAAGTCGTGACAGCTTCTTGTGTATTTTGGATTACAGTCCTTAGATGTGCCTTTTCCAAATATTGTCTCCTAGTCTGTGCTTTCTCTTCTGCCAGTGTCGTTTGCAGAGCAGAAGTTTTTAATTTTAATGAAGTCCAGGTTGTTAGTTATGTCTTTCGTGGATAGTGTCTTTGGCCTTCTGTCTCAGAAGTCATTGCTGTACCCGAGGTCATCTGGCTTTTCTCCTGTGTTATCTTCTAGGAGTGAGATCTGACTAGTTTATATGTTCCTTTATTAAGGATATCTATGGTTTAATGTGTTGAGAAAACTTTGCTATAGAAAAACAGACATTTTTAGCTGTGACAGGTTAGTCATACTCTAAATTTAGTTAATTCCTTCAGGAGGATTGATCTTTATTCCAAAGCCAGTTTCTCTTAGAATTAAATTTTAAAATTCATGACAAATCTATCTGCTTGCAAAGTTTTAGTTTAAAGTTGAAAGAAGTAGCAATTAATATGCCAGAAGGACTTAATGGATCTGTTAAATTCAGCATCTCATGAGCAAGAAGTTCCAGGTTCTGTTTTGTTTTCAGTCATTCAGCCCCCTTACCCCCCAAAAAAGTCAGCCCTTTGATATTATACATGCAGGCTGAGAGTACAGTTTGCCTAGAAAGGTATTTAGTTTGCGTTCCTGTCTGGTGTGTTCGACTTTCTTGAAAATCAGGTCACACAGCTATAATCTGGTTTTTTTTTCCTGCTTTATCTCCCCAAACCCCCCCTGTACACAGCTGTATATCTTAGTTGCAGGTCCCTCTAGTTGTGGGATGTGGGACGCTGCCTCAATGTGGCCTGACAAGCGGTGCCATGTCTGCGCCCAGGATCCAAACCCTGGGCCGCCGCAGCGGAGCACAAGAACTTAACCACTCGGCCACAGAACCGGCCCCTGTGTTGTTTTTTTTAAAAAGAAAAAAAAAATAGCTTAATGTTAGGTTTAATAAGGTTGAAATGTGAGGCATTCAAAATCATTACTTGGATTTAAAAAACACTAACTGATACTAAGAATAGTTTTAACACTGTAGAAAATAAATTTCTCTGACCTTCTCTTTAGGGTATTGGACTTTTATGTCATGAATATACAACTGGTTTGCATGAAAGTCTAACAGTGAGGTTTATAAGGTTTCTCATTCATTGCAGTCATTTAACAAAGAGAAACAAGTTTTAGTGAGTCTAGTTTATTAAAAAAAAAAAACTGCTATACATGTGGTAAAAGATTTCTGGATATTAAATACTAGGTCTTGACTTCTTCCCTCTTTCCAGTGGGAAATATTGTTACTTTTCTTGTGTAGTTTGCCAGGAAACATTTATTCATATACATAAATGTTTCTTTAAAATCGTTAATTTGCTTTCCCACCATAAACATTTTTATGCACCTTGAATTGTTCCCTCAATAACATGTGTATCATGAAGCACTCCCTATTTCATCACTGCAGTTAAAAAAAATTCATTTTTAAGACTATGATATTAAATGCCAAAGTTTATCTAGTTGGGTCTCTTCTAATGAATATTGAGGTTGTTGAGCCTTTTTTTAACCTCTCCCCCTCGGAGTTTTATGCAATAGCAAAGAAAGAAACGTGGAGGTATGTTCGACATGATGCAGTTCAGACTGGTTCTTCAGTTGCTTCAAGCTGGACTGCAGAGGGATTAGCCAGCTTTAAATTAATGCCTTTAAAAACAAATCTCAGAGAATTTTTGGCATATTTTCTTGTTAAAGGTTTTAAAATGCTTAGACATATTCTGTAGACATTCCAAAAAAAAAAAAAAAGGTCAGGGAACATTTCAGGTGTTTTTTAATCTGCTTTGAAAATAGGAAGAACCAAGGGATAGTAAACCTTAGTTTAGATTAGACAGAATCCTTTCTTGGATGGTGCTGTGAGGGCTCTGTTGACATTTGCTTTAGTGGAGTAGACTAGATAGTTGATGGTTTATCTGAGCTCCTAAGTTCACAAAGTGAATGCTATAAGGCCTAGCATTCTTTTTGGGGGATGGTGTATTGGGAAGAGCATGAGCTTTTATGATAGAATGAGGGCTTTAATTAACAACTTTTAAACTCTTAGAGCTTGGTTTTTCCACTTAGCAGTATGTTTTGGATCTTATTGATACATGAAGAGCTTCTTCATTCTTTTGTGTGTAGGTGTGTATGTGTGTGCATGTGTGTGTTTCAGTGTTGTATTTCCTTGTATGGATAGATAAACTTGTAAAAAACTGGTCCCCTATTGATGACCTTTAGGAGGTTATTTCTAGTCTTTTGTCTATTACAAACATGCAGCATAAGTCATTTCCCATATCTGAGGATAAATTTCTAAAAGTGGAGCTGCTGAGTCCAAGGGCATATACATTTGTAATTTTGGTAGATTTCTCTAAATAGCCCTCCCAAAGAGGTTGTATGGATGTACATTTCAACTAGCAGTGTATGAGAAAGTCTTTCATGACAGGCTTGCCAATGTGATATGATGCAGTGTGTATGCCGTTTTACATCTGATAGGTGAAAATGCGCATCTTAATGTGGTTTTAATTTATATTTATCTCATGTATGATATTAAATAGTGTTTCATACGTTTACAAGCCTAAATAAAAACTTCTGAAAACTTCCCCACCAGTCCTGTTACTCTGTCATTAGATGTATTAAACTGTAGTCAGAATAACTGCATTTCCATGAAAATACAGCCTAGTAGTGTAGATTTGGACAGTAGTTTCTGGTGTACCTTGGTTGAGTCCCATCTCTGCCACTTGTTTGCCAGGTGACCTTGTACAAGCCACTTGACCTAGCCAAGCTTCAGTTTTGTCTTTCAGCTGTAAAATTGGGGTGAGTATACGCTAAGTCTAACCTTTATTGTCTGCTGTGCTTAAGCACGATCATAAGCCCTTCACATGGGTTGGTGCCACCATTTGCCAGCTGCAGAAACCAGTCACAAAGTGGGTGGGTGACTTGGAAAGGCCACACAGCTCCTCAGTGGTGCCAAAGACTCTCCTTGACCAGATTTTAGTCAGGCTCCTCTAAGCCCTCTTCCCAAGTAGTCTTGACCCTGAGAATCTTTCTTGCCCCTATTGATTCAGCCTGTGGGGCCCAAATTGACAGGAGGTGTGAGGGGGTGGAAGTAATGGTGATTCCAAACATCAGGACGGCTGGATTCCTACTTAGGATGCTGGCCTCTTGCATTTTACTCATTTGACGGCATTTAGAGAGCACTTGTTATCTCTCTTCTTAAGAGTCATCTAGATTCTAGGGTAAAAGCTCCGCAGAGAAAGCAGTTCATGTCCACTGCTGTGTCCCTAATGGCAAGAAA